ATGGAATGGTAGATGCATCTGTTTATTTACATTTTCTGACTTTTCACGCTGCCATGCGTATTTTGACGCGTACGTCCGTAACATCGCAAAGAGATTATGAGCTTGCTCAATCATTGATGCGCATCGTTGTTGATAAGTGCGAAATGGTTTATGGTGCGGAATTCATGAGCTACAATCTTCATTGTCTCCCCCATGTCGTTGAGGACGCTAAACGTTTTGGATGCATTGATGGATTCTCCGCATTTTCGTATGAAAATAATATGACGTACTTCAGGGAATCTTGTCGCAAACCGCATCAGCATCTCCAACAAATTGACGGATGAAATATTGAAAGGAAATCCGTGGACATCCGGGAAGGAATCCTTGCTGAAGAATCAGTAGTTTCAAAAGTGGTTGCTGGCAAACCTTGGCATGGACCTCTTCCACCATCTGTTACAGCAAATTGTTCTCAATATCGCTCAGTCAAATATCGCGGCCTCATTATTTCGTTGAATAACCGTGATGACACGGTACTTTTGGATGATTCTTCGATAACTATTGTTCCGAATATTATCTCAATTGACGACGACTACGGTTTTGCTGCGAAAAAGTTCAGAAGGGCTGACGAGGTTTTTAACCTCGGGTGTTCATCAACTCGAGTTGGAGTTTTCCGCTGTTCAGCCCTTCTTGATGAAACTTATACTGTTCCAATTTCTCAGGTTTGTGGTAAATGTTTTTGAATGAGTTACTGGCATAGAGATTGTCCAATTTCTATCCCTGGAGTTGTTATTGTAGTTTTGCTGGCTTCGTCGCTATCTGTTTAGGAGTGTAGCCATCTACGTTCTTCATTGTGATAGATTGTTCTATACATCTGTTCATGTCTGTTCTGACATAAATAATATTATTGCCGTTTGCCCATTGTGTCCAGATGAGTTGGTAGGATATACATTAGTACTTTGTTTACCGGTTGCATTTCATTGTTCTCTTCTGTCTGTCTTGGTAGGGTTCGGTAAGGGTTAACAATTTGTGAAGGTTGCGAGAAAGTTGAGAGTGCGTATAGAGTTAGGGCATATTCAGATTATACTGTTTCCTATCGACTGATAATTTTCGGGCAGAGTTTAGTGTTGATTTTTATAAGTGTCATTAAAATGCAATTATTAGATTTTTGTGGAATTTGGTGAATTTTGGTGAAATTTGGTGAAAACATAAATTTCCGGGCTAAAAGTAACAGGTGTTCTTCCACAACAACTCATTGTTAAAGGTACTATCTGCTAAACAAAGTACAGGCAATCGAGTTCTTGGTAAGGTAAGATCGCAGATCGATGCAGTTTTTTTTTTGTAGAAAATGATGAATCTTAAGAGACTCCGAATTCTAATTCAATATTTCTTTTTTTTCAGGCAACATCAGCGTCAACAATTCCAGAGACCTGATGACCTCCCTGAAGGATTCCCGCTGAAGAGTTTGCAGGGTTTCCTCGCATTTGAAAATGCAGCCCCTGGCATTTTCGATGATTTAGTATGTATAATAATTATTTTACAATATTTTTTATAGCGATCCAACAAGTATTAATTGGTCACTATTTTAACAGGTTGTATTTTTCGTCCATCTGGGGGACCATAATCCGCAGGAATGTGCGAAGGCTTACTTCCATGCGGACATCACGTGGAAGGGGATTCCCCGGGACGGCAATCCTCCGATCGTGAAGTAGTCCCTCCAAAGGAGCCGCTTAACTCGTGCTTGCCGTGGTAAGTACTTATGGTTTGTCTCATAATGAATCAGATGTTCATACTATCTACTTTTCTTTCAGAGGCCATGCAGAGGGACAACAAATTTTCAGGGCCACAGGAAGACCAATTCTGCATCTGCATGCAAAGGTCCCTGAAGGCCCTGGAAAACCGCCTACGTCGCAAACGCCCGCGACAGGATGCGGATATCCACCACCCAGCCCCTCAACGACGTCGTATTGCCGAGGACCCGCAGCTGGAACAGGATGAGGATTTGCACGAGCTCTTTGGAGACCTGCTTTAGGGAGAGGTCATCTACCGTGAGTTATATCTTCTTTTCTCTTGCCTAATTTTAATTATTTCGAGGTGCTGTTTTATGGTTGAGCATCACAGAAGACAGCGGGGAGGGGCTGTTTTCCCTTTAATTATTCTCATTATTTTCAGGTGTCTGCTTGGCGAGACAAAGTTTTGGTTGCGTCTCACAGAATAGGGCGGGGTCGGGGTCCTTTTCACTACTAATAATTCTGTTTCTTTTTCAGGTGCAGCTGTTAAATGAATTGGAGAGACAAAATGGTGGTTGTGTCTCACAGGACGGGGCAAGGTTGGGGCCCTTTCCACTATTAATTATTTTCTTTTTCAGATACAACTTGAGAATGGCTTCAGGACAAAATGTAAACTGTGTCTCACAGGTAATAATTACCATATTAATCTTATAATTAATGCCATTTTTTACCTTACTATTGTTCGCTTTTTTCTTGTTTAGCACTTCTCAACGAGACAGGACGTTCGACGATGCCCACATCTCCCAACGCAGCGAAATTCCATTGTTATAGTATGGATAATATTACTAAATTTAAATTTAAGGCCTGGATTGACTATCTATCGAACTTCATCGTTCGTTTAAATTGTATCGTTTTAGCTTAAAATACTACTATACAATAATAGATTATAAAAAAAATAATGAGAAAAAAGAGGAAAAATTTATTAAAAGGTGCGATATTGTTTCAAAAAGCATCTACAAACTTTAGTCAAAAATAATAAAAAATATGCAGTTTACCATTCTTCTCCAGGAGATAGAGTGACAGCTAGATGCAATGGTAAGCTACGTATTTTTTCTTATTTTTTAGTAAACTTCGTAGATCCTTTTTAAACAATATCGCTCTTTAGCACTCTTCCATAATTTTTTTCTCTTTTTTTCGTTTTTTTATAACCTATTTTATAGCAGTATTTTGAGCTAACACGATAAAATTTAAACAAAAAATGAAGTTCAATAGATAGTCCATCACGGCCTTCAATCGTTCAATTATTAAATTTAGTTAACATATCAATTATAGAGTTGTAAGTTATTTAAATGTTTCATTATCATTTTTAAATGCTCTGTAAAAATGTATTGATCTGCAAATAAAATTAATTTCCATATATTTTGGTAATTTTTCATTGTTTTTTGATAATAGAGACCGAGGGAATAAGGGTTCGGTACGTATTTCATGGCGCGTACTGGTATAATCGTGGTATTGTACCTAATGCTGTACCATTATGGTAGTAGCATGAAGAATAGAGTAAGGAGGCCAAACAGTAGTGGGAGAATGTTCTAAATGTGTGACACAGAGGGGAGAAGCAATGTAGTTCGGGTCTCGCATGCACATAATAGATGATTCATGTATTGGTGGCTTTGTTGTGATTTGAAAATTGTATTCATGCAGCGTTATTATTGTTAAATTGGCCGATTAGATGTTTTTTTATTCACGCTAAAGTAGTTGAAAGTTATTGGTGAGAACAAAAATGAGGAGGGTGTGTGCATTTCCCGGATGTAAATCAGGAACAGGAAATGATAAAAGACACAATAAATCGGGTGGAGTGCGTAATAAAAGTTAATTTAAAGTTCCACATCAGGTTTGTATTAATATTCGTTTTTCCACATGAGCTGCTAGGAATTGCAGTACAGAAGAAGTCGAGTTACTACATAATCTGTCTTGTTTTTAGAATTTTCTTTTGAGAAAAAAATGGGAAGAGGTAATTGGTCGAGTTGCTAAAAATACTGAGGTTTTGTGTGGGCTGCATTTTTCCAGAGAGGATATATTAGATAAATATGAAACTATTTTATCAAATGGAACCAAACACATCATGCAGCGTGGCACAGTGACATTGAAATCTACGGCAGTCCCTTTAGTATCAAATCAAGTTTTAAGTTTGGGGCAACCAAATATCTATTTCACTCATATGGTCGTCAATTACTCCTTCACTCTTAATTCTCCTACAGATTCTGTATCAACTCAGGGTTGATACTCTCGAGCTACCAAACTAATATCACTCGAGATGTGATTCTTTCACTGAATTTTCCCTGGGTGTTGCTTGACATTCCTTTTATCTTTTATTTTATTTTAGGGGTGAGTAACAGAAATAATGAAACTACACTGACACTACACCTTGGTTGCATAAACTCAAAAAATGTTATCTTTTATTCAACACGGTCTTTGCGCACTAGAGAGATTACAAATTTGCTACTTTTCACTTCACTTCTAAAAACGAACTGACTGGTTTATCACTTTTATTTTCTTGAGAGCGTCGGAAGAAGGAGGAGGGAATTAGCTAAACAATAATTATTGTCGTTTCTCTGATTGGTGGGCTAAGAATCTTCGAACTCATTGGTGCGATTTATTGATGGTGGGAGAAGAGAGGTTGTGATTTAAAGAAAGTTAGAATTTTGATATTTCCGAATTCATAAATTCTGGCTACGCGAAGTTTGAAAAAAAAGGGTTTTTGGTGTGACGGCTTGCAACGGATTATCTTGGAAAACAGCTAGTAAAGTTGGGGAGTTGCCCATAATAAAATGACGGGTTCGGCGGTTCTCGGTCCTCGCGTGCGATTTGAGGGTGGACAAAAAAATAGTGAATTACTGAAGACCTGATGGGTTTTGGGGAACAAGAATTTTCCCAGATGACCAGCAGCTTTGTCCAAACGACTTGTCCGTGATTTTCATTGGGATTACTGGATTAGGCGGATGAAAAAAAAGGCTTGCAATTTCTCCGTTATCCGCGTCCTCCCTCTTCTTTCGCTCTCCAAAATGTTTGTTAATTTCGAATATTTTCTTTTCCTTAAGGGCTATAAATTATAATGAAATACAATTTAACAACGAAAAAACTATAGATTTGTTTGGGACGAAACAGATTCCTTCCCTAGAACATACGACAAATGTTCCACTTCATGATCTCTCTAGAAACAACAGTTCACCATCACCTCCCACAAACATTTTTGATATCTTCCCGTATTCAATGCCACCAACAACTTTGGGCATGATGGATACTATGGGTTCACCACGAAGACAAACATCTCAAGGAAAACGTCGAATCGCCGATGAGAATGCAAACCCCAATACACCCAAGAAACTCCAAAAATCTGTCCCCAAGAAATTGAAGACATCCATGAGCCGAACTAGTCTGATACGCCACCATCAAGTTTTGAAAGAAAAGAACTTGAATGTCCCAGAGGATATGATTCCAACTGAGCATCTGCAAGATGTTAGCCCCAAGAACTTGAATGTGCTAGAGGAGAAAACTTCGACTGATCCATTTGGAGATGTTAGTCCAGATGAGCATCAATTAAGATTGACTCCCTTCACATTTGAAAATATTGATTCCCAGTTGAATGGTTTGTTGAATTCCCAGGTGATAGTATTTTGGTTGGCCTTTGGTTTCGTGCCAAACCAGCGAAGAAACAGTTTTTTATTCGTCATAATGGATCTATTGAGGTGAATTTTTGATTGGTGAAGAAGAGATCAACCTTGACTCTTCACTGACAAGATCTTTTTACTTTCAGCTCTTCATCAATGACCGTCCAACCCCTGTACCTGGTCTGCAACCAGGCACTTCCCTCGACAACATCATCACAAACATCAAAATTCTTAACAAATTGCTTTTATGTGATGGGACTGGGTTGAAAGAGGGGTATGTATGGATTCAATTGTTTTTGAGTGGAAGGTTCGGATCAAAAGCTGATACCCTGATTCTCTTGCATTATAGATCTTCAGATGGCTGTGTTGGATATGTGCAGCCGACGAGTTCTCATGGGAAATATGGCCATGTTCGATGTGGTAGTTGTTAAGCAATAAGAGGAAAAATTCTTCGTAGGGAGAAGAAAAACGTTAAGAGAATACAGAAACAAGTTTCGCAGATTAAGAAGAGCAGAAAAATGATAAAGAATGCAATGAGCAAAAATCATAGACTGCAAAATAAGGTATCTATTGATTTATCTCAAAGTTATATCCATCTGCTTGGAACTTTCCTTTTTGAATAATTGTCCATTGCAGGTATCGAAGCTGAAAAAAGAAATAGTATCAGCTAAGAAAAAGTGCGACAAGGCAAACGCTAAAGCAATCGAGGAGCAAATATCCAAATTACCTACTGCTCAACAAGAAGCAGTCAGAGCATGTTTTTCAGCTGCACAACGGCCCGGAAAAGGACGAAGATACACACAGCATTGGGTCTATGAATGCCTCTTGATGAGGATCAAGAGTAAAAAATTATATCAAGACCTGAGAAGGCGTCGGATACTACCTTTACCCCACATCGATACATGGAATAAATACATAAAACGTATGAGCAGTGCTTACGGGTTCAATCCTGCCATTTTTAATTTGTTAAGTGTGAAAGCTCAGCAGTTAAGGCCAGAAGAAAGAAGAGGTAGAACATATATCATCAACAATTAATTATATTTGCTTTGTCGTCCATATTTATGTGTTCGTTTGTACATAGGGAGTCGATAGGGAGTTTTAATCGATGAAATGAAATTGTCAGACACTTTACAATTTGATACAGTGGGACATACACCGTTTTTTTTTTTGGAAAAGAGAGCCGCGCCCAACCCGCGAACCCCACACCAGTGGAGGAAATTGAATAATTAATTAAGCAGTGACATGAAATCACGATTTCGCATATATCCCTGTTGAACCGGAGGCTACGCCAAGGCGGTTTAAAGTTTAGGACTTTCCCTGCTAATTCCGGCATTAGCAGGAGATCGAGGAATTTCAGGGGAATTTACGATGAGAAAAATTGTAGGGGTTATTCCCTGCCGAATCAGCAGGAGGTTAGGGATTGACTAAGGAAAATTTAGGGCTGGGATTAGAAATTAGAGTGCGACATCGTGCGGTCCTCAATCTCATTGCGAAGAGGGATAATATGGAATTATCATCCGACGTAGATTCTGGGGGGTATTCCGTTTGCAAAATCATCCCGGGATGAACCGTCTGGCTGCGAGTGCCAGCACCCCCCAAAAAAAAAAAGGGATTCGTGAGGAATTTTAGTGTACGTGTTAGTGTTGGAAGGTCGGCGGGGGTGTTACGACCGACACCTCCCCGGATTGCCGTATTAGTTAAGTTTAGTTCATGTTAGTATATCCACGGATCTCCGGGGGAAACAACCGGGAAAAGACTAGCCGCGATAATTAGGGTTATTAGGAAAAATTAATTAGAATTAGGTCCCCCGTTCAAATTTGAATGGGGAGAAATTAGAGCGCCAGGACAATTAATGCCATCGCGCTTAATCTACCGGAACTAACGTCCCGGTGAAGCATGAGTTCCGCCATTTTTGGCAGTTATCGCCAGGACATACGAGCCAACGGACGAGTTTTCCCCAGAGTGCCAAGAAGAGAAGAGGACAATGGGAGGATCCAACCCAGCTCGCAAGCCGCGTGGAAAGGTGAGGAGATTTATGTAAATCTATCCCAGTAACACCGGTTACTGGAGATCGCATAATTATTTCGGCCCGCGAGTGAACATTTATCCTGTTCGATCAACGGATCGAACAGCGTTTCCCTCCGTTCAGGTGTCGCAAGTGCTTCTCAGCCATGGTTTATCCGAAGAGCCACGGCTGATCGCGTGTGGGGAATTATTCATCCCACAGGGCCGCCCCTGTGGAGGTTTAGGGTCATATGGCGTAAGAAAACGTGTGAAAATCCCGGGGGAAACCGTCGAAAAAACCCGTGGAAATGTGAGGAATTTACTTGGATAACCTTGAGGGGTGTGCATGCCGTCGAGGCTTCGAGTGGTTTCCCCACACTCCGCTCCGCTAAACGTTGAGCGTGAATTTCAGCACAACGATGCCGAGAAAATCCCGTTTTCTTAAAACGGAGATATCGCGGCCCCCTTACGTGGTGCAGTTCCCCAATTTTGGGAGGACGTGCGCGAACATCCCCCCTAGCCGGTGGAGTTTATCCGATGCCGATCGGTGAAGGCATTGAGGCGTCGCGAAATTTTTATCCGTCGGAAAATTCTTATGTACGCGTACCGTATACGTTGGGCGTAGTGCGATCTCTCTCGCACCTCATCTTCCATCTCTCTCTCGCTTTCCTATAACGCCTCTTCCAGGCTCGCCGAGGATTCTCTCGGTGATAGAAAAATTCCTAAATAATTAATTTAATTCATTTTTTTCTTGGAGATTAATCCCGGACCTCTCCCGAGGGCCGCGGAATTGCATGGAGTTGAAATTCTATAATTCATCCATGGGGAAACTTTATAATTAGCCCTTTTATGGGGCCCTGAATTATCGGAAAAATCCCGAGCCTCTCTTGGGGACTCGTGGAATTGCGGGGAGCCTTTTTTTTGGGGGAAAATTTGAAATAAATTATATCTACGGGGTCCCGAATTTTCGGAGAAATCCCGAGCACCCTCCGGTGCCTTGCGGACTTAAGGGGGGTTGCTTTTTCTTCTTTTTGGAAATCATCACCGCCATGGCGGGTGAATTGAATACCGTCGGCCTCGGTCGACTGGGAAATCTCCGACATCAGTGTTCGGGTTCGCTTTAATAAAAATTAGTTAGTTTTGGAAAAGTTAATACGGTTTTGAGAAATTATTTATTTGAACATTTTCGCCCTTTTCCCCGAATCCACCCCTGTCTCCACAACCTAGCATACTGAGCAGCACAGGCATCCGTTTCCTCTCCCTCAACCCCTTGCTGAATTAGAGATAAGTACGGGTTAGTGATACGTTTTTCGGTTTTAATTTAGATTTTAGTTTTCGAGTTGCTCATTTCTCGATCAGAAAAATTAGCTGGCGCCCGGCAACCTTTTTGTAGGTCCCGATTCTAGTTAAGTTGAGTATCGGCGAGGAGGCCAGAGGGAGGAAGGGCGAAGGTGATGGGCATTTCCGGTCGCTTAGGGAAATGTCACGTTACAACAGATACATGTCAATTTCATGGCTCCGCCAATTTGGGGGATTATACCCCAATTTCTCAAGCGAATTAGCTAGGAAATCATGCCTTAGTATTCATGTTCCAACTATTCCGAGGACAGTGGGTACAAGCACTGGCTTGTTTCCTGAGTAAGGGCTGCGCCAACAGTAATACACTGGAATGTCTCATCCTAGAATGCCTCATGCTTATGGAAAAAAGGGGATTTCTGTGCGACGTGATTATTATGGATGGTGCAAGTTAGAATCGGAGCACCTGGAAAAAATTTGGAGTAGAAGGAGATAAAATGTCTTGCAAAAATCCATATGAGCCTACAAGGAAACTGTGGTGTTGTTCCGACTTTCCGCACATGATCAAGAATTTACGTAATTGTATCATCAAAGAACCTGAAATATGGGTGAGTCTTTTCTTCAACGTTGTATTATACTCAGCGCTGGTTAATAATGCTTGTTCACTGTGCATTTTGTATTCAATAATGTTTTGTCCACCTTTAAGACACCTGACGGAGTCGTGAACATGAAACACTGACAAGCAGTCCTAGATGCTCAGCAGGATAGTTTTTATGGGTTGCAAATCGCATATAAAATGACAGCTCATCATTTGAAACCTCAATATTATCAGAAAATGAATGTTTCTTCGGCTATCCAGGTAAATATTTATGAAATTGTTCATAATTGCCCCTGGCTCACCCTCCCCTAATACGTTTACAATGAAGTTAAGTATACAGAATAGTAATCTTATTCTCGTCTTCAGTTGTTCGATCAGCGTGTAGCTGCTGCTATGCAAACCCTTCAGGGAGTTAACCATGCTCTAGACGATGCAGAACCAACAATAAAATTCATTAGAAGAATGAGTAAGCTCATAAGAGTAATGATGTTTCGAACTCCTGTTGAGGCTGTTCAATGAAATACGAATCGTCATCAAATCCTAAGGAACTTTCGAAATTATTTGGCAGAATGGGAAAGACAAGCTCAAGAAAATGGACATCGTTTTCTGCCTGCCAGTACTAGTTACGGTTTGAAGGTCACATTAAATGCAACACTTGAAATATTGGAATTTTCAACATTCGATAAGGAGTTTAAATATTTAATTATGAGCAGATTAAATCAAGATGCACTGGAACGATTCTTCAGTTTAGCACGAGGAGTATGTGGTTCGAATGACCATCCAGACTCGATACTATTCGGTCAAATGTTCCGTTTAATCAGTTCATATTCTCTTATCAAACCGTGTAGAGGCAGTAGCGTATCTGGGGGTGAAATGCTGCAGACGTTATTGAAATTTGAAGATCTATCCCAAACCGCAAACCGGCGTAAAGAATGGGAAGAGATAACGGACAACGTTATTGAATCTGGTAAATCTGGGGAGGATTACGTTGATATCAATAAAACCGATGGTGAAAATACTAGCATTCTGCGTACGCTGATGGCCTACATAGCTGGATATATTGTGAGAAAATCGGCAAAATGGACAAAATGTTACAATCGCGTTAAAAGTGTTAAATCTACGGAAAAGAGCAATCACAGTAATGCATTAATTTCAATGTTATCACATGGATATTTGATATATCCCTCAGCAGATTTAGTGCAATTGGTTAAAAAAATGGAAAAGGAGGTGAAACAGTAAATTCCACTGGCAATAACTGTGATACAGTTTTTCACATTAGTTTTGCTCTTCAAGAGACGTCGCTTCCACTAGTTGGGTGCACTGAGTATAAGGAATCGTTCACTACGCTAATTATGAAATTTTTCATAAGAGTACGAGCAGACTTCTTCACCTCTCTTCACACGATTGTTACGTTGATTACTTGACTTACTCGAATATTCCCGAGAACATTTTCACTCAATTTTCACGCAATTGCCACATCACGTTTGCACATCTATTGCATTGAAACAAATCTTGAATAGTTGTTATTAATTGATAAATCCTATCCCAATAAAAAAGATTCACCCGTGAAAACTGTACTGCGTATTCCCATTGATCACGTGATCATGGTTTATGCTCATCGCCATGTTGAATATGGCGGCACACATTCTCCGGTGAGTTTTGGGCAATGCTTGGCGGACTCACATGAGCGACTAAATTCATACGGAGTATATTTTCATTTTTTAAGTTTATTTTATTTTTCATTAAAACTTTTCATTAATCTCGAAAAATTTCCTTACGCAGATAGAATACATATACATGTTTTTTAATGATTGGAATTTAATTTTATGTCAAGAACAATGAAAATTAAAGATCCTTTTCTTTTCTTAGCTAAGGCCAATTGCAATATTCGAATATTTCTGTTTTATTTTATTCAATTAAGACAAACAAAGATAAAAACGGATATGATCCAATGAGTAACCAATAAATAATTAATAACCTAATTTATTTTTGTTTTTTTTTAATACAGAAATTATTTTCATAGAAAACAACATAGTGATCAACGGCGCTAATTATAATAAAAAGAACCGTCCATTAATCGAACATGGCGGATCTCATGGGGATAATCGATCATTTTTTCTTCGATTCGATAATCGAACGGGACCTCTGATCTGACATGTGATGAGAATGTCATCAACGTCGCGGCCGCGGCGGCGCTAGTTATAATTTAAAAAAGAGTCACTTCGTGAATCCTGTAAACTGCGTACACAGGCCCCACCACCTGCCGCTATCTCCCACCCATTATCCTGCAACCGGGCGATTCTAATGCCATCTACAACATTTTACGAGTCTGGTTCGGATCGAATACCGAATGCACAGAGTTTGGCCTCCTTACTCTATTCTCCATGGCCTCTACTTTAGTCCATCATCTTTGGTTAAAATCAACAACTCGTCCATTGAACATGGGATGTCGCATGTAGGAAAATGGAATATACACTGTGACCTTGGCCGGGAAATTAAAATATAATAACTCCCGGTGAAGACACGAATAAATGAACAAATGAAACGAATTAATGACACAAATGATTTTTGAGAAGAAATTACTTAATATTTACGGGGGGGACCTGGAATGAGAAAAAAAGGGGGGGGAGGTGAATAATTACTCGGGCGGGATAGTAGGAATAAATATTATATATTTCAATAAAGGGCGGAACGTTTTAATATAGTAAATCTCATAACAAAAACCAAAATTGTGACCTTTTCTTAATAATTAATCAAGGGTGGGAGGTAAGGCCAGCCAGCTTGCGACACACAGGTAATTAATAATAGAAAAAGAAGGGGTGATTCTAACTCTGCAAAAGGGGCGAGAAGTGAGGGGTCCTACTGAAAAGGTACCGATAATTAGGGGGCGTGGGTTATAACAAAAATAAATTTCCTGGAGACTCACCGTTGGGGGGAGGACCTTACAGGGGTTTTGTTGACACTTGTTGGGGTGGGAAATGTGATTAAGGGTACTCACGGGATTGGTGGCTTCCTCAATCCTTCGCCAAAATTATCCAAAGCCGATAACTCCTCCCTTCGTCACTCCTGGGTCTCTCCTAATCCTTCACGGGCCACGGGCACCCGTTTTCCTCCACAAATATTCCTCCCAAAACTCCTCCAAATACTCTCAAATGAATCTCCTCCAACTACTCTTCACTGACTCCTCAAACCACTCTCCTCAAACTTCTCTCCAAATAACTCTTCCAAAATACTCTCCGAATAACTCCTAAAAAATACTCTCCGAATAACTTCTTTCCGCAGGGGCAGCTGTATCACGAGTAATGGCTTCCCCATACTCGTGGTCATTCTTCCCCGATTATCGGTAATAATCGGGGTCAATCGGGGACACTCGTCATCGGGTGTCCTCGTCCTAATTATTAATCGTTCCGGTATTTCCTTTTCTTCCGGGGTCACGTGGCCTGTGACGTAGAAGTGGTGGTTTTGGTTTCTTCCGTCGGCCAGAGTGGTGGCGAGGAGAACGGCGGGTGGGGGGAGCGTTTTCCTCTTGTCTCGTTGATGGTGTTGTTCGCGGCGTGAGTGTAGCGATAGGGGATGGTGCGGGACAAGGGGAAGGACTATTGTTGGGAGTGGGAGCCAACGATGACAGGTTTTATAACCTCGTTTCGTTATTTCGGTTAACTTAAAACTAATAAAAAGTTATGATTAGGGGGCAGGGGAGGGGCTGAAATAAAAGTGCCTCGTCACAACACCTATATGTTTTTGTCTCGTCAACCGCCGAAGGACACGCTATCTCCTTACGTTGATCCACTTTACCCCATCGAGGCGATTAGTCACGTCAAATAGGCTTCAAACATTGAGAAAAATATCAGCGAGTGGAGTCCTTCGCCTTTGGGGTGGACGGTCTTTTTCCAAATCCTGAATCACCACGGCGTCAACTCCTGTATCTGATTAAAATCTGAGTGAGAGAGTCTATTGAATTTATCAGCCAATTTACTAACTTTTTTATTGATTTTTTCTTCGACTCTGATGTAAAATACGTAACTATGAAATGAATGTGTGAAACTGTCATCACTTACAATTTCGAATTATGTTTTGGCACTTCCTCTCGGAAATAATTTGAAACTCTTGCCGAATCACTTCCGAAAGCACAACTGTTGTAGATACTAATAATTACCATGTACATCGGATTCCATCGCTTTAACAGCGGTTTGATCCTCAAGTCCAGTAGTTATTGTTTTCTCACAGTACCTATTGACATCAGCGATTTGTAGCCAGCCAAAGTACGAAAAATTGCGGAATTTAATGCAAGACGAGAGTTTGTTTTTAAATACTCAACTACTAAACAACTAGCATGCCGAGCAGATCCGACGCAAAAATCTTCTAACCATAAGCTCAGCTTTTCTTTGTACAGATTTTTGACAACATTATCAGGCGAAGAAAATGGTTTTGTGCAAAATTGCAAATCGTTATTCAAATCATTAAGTCCGAATGGGCAAAAAAATTTTTTTTTCATTTTTCTTTCTCTTTGCTTCTTGCGAAACTACCTAAATATGGAGGCATTCTAAAATATAAGAAGCGACAATTATTCAATTTTCCATTACTGATATTTTTTAGTATAAATGCTATTCTCATTCTGCCAAAAATTGGCGCCATTCAACGGCTCGTGGCACTGCCTTCAAGATTTTCCATGCTTCTTTGATGTGATCCTTTGCACTACCAACGTGTAACAAAAAATATTTCCTGATTAGGAACAGAACCACCACCTAATTAAGTAGGCACTGTAACCTTAACGGATTCTACATCGTAATTTTTCAATTGGATTAAAAATATCCATGCATATGTAGAAGAAATCAGACCATAGTTTTCGGAGTAGAAATAATTTTTTCAAAGTCATATTAATCCTGCTAATAATGATCATTTTTAAAAATTCTTCCATTATCCTTCCTTTATTATTTTATAGTACGTAATCGCAAAAACCCCACATGAACTACGCTTTCCATATTTTCTAGTCAAATTTCATTCCCAGGGAAGAACAGTCAAGTTTAAAAAACCAGCCCAAGCTCGGCTCAACTCCAACCCAATGAACCATAGGAAACTTGGTCCATAATTCAGCTTGCACTTTGAATCAGTCTTCAATCAAGAATTGGATAAGTTTGTTGTCATGCAACGCTGACGCGACAAAGGTAGTCAATGCTCAAATCCTACTAGACTGAATTGCGGTCAAAACTTGTCTATCAATGCTCGGTGAATCAAGATGGAGCGGATCCACCTTAATGAATTCACTGAACGAAATGAGAAAGAATGGAATGGCAGGATGGTAGTAGTGATAAAATTTTCGAGTCAGAATGGGAGCCCTTAGCCCTAAAGATGCAGACTGCAATGCTTGCAAAACATCGGCATAATGCTAAAATTAAACCTAGCATCTGGATAGTCAAAAGTTCTGATTAGAAATTGCTTGAGTGTTCGAATGATGCCAATCGAATTGACCATTAGCTAAATAATCAAAAAATTTCTACATCCGATTGATCAGTGCGAATTGTATTAATGTTTCTATATGATTTGTTATTTTTCATTTTTTAAGTAAATTCTTAGGGTCGAATTAATTGAAGCGGTAAACATTACCCTATTATATTAAGGGTTATGACGTACGTCGATGCCTCAGAGCAATAAGCTTCAATTTATTTCTCCGATTTGGGATGCAATCGTAACACCGAAAATTTTGCCGGGGCGCCAGTCAGTGTCAATATTTTGCGAGAGGCACTCCTCTCAAGTCAATACAAATATCAGTAAATTCAAAAACTCAAAATGGTTGGCTGCTCATTTATGAGTAGACCCTTCTTGTTATATGGGAAGGGGAAGGGGGACGATACCCCCTCTCTGGAATTTTCCTTTACCTCAGCAAAAGTAGACACGGGTTTTCCGACTCAAAAAGAAAAATATTGTAATCCACACAAAAAGCAAATTGAACAGTAAGTGATATAAAATCATTATCTCAGTTTTTTGTGTTCCCGTCACGACAAAAGAAGCTTACACGGCGAATGAACGCAACTCGAATGATTTTTCTTAGCCTCACAAACAAGGGACGAAATTTCTTAAAATTTCCCCTTATTTTACATATTTTCCTTGAAATCATGATATTTCGAATTCGCGATATAAAACAAGCGTCTCTAAATTTCTCGGAAATTCCGAATATAAATCGAATTTCTACAAATTTTACAATGTTTTTGTCGGTAAATGTTGGAAATCCTGTCAGCTGAGAGGCCCCCTCGCACACACTCACACTCACCGCTCACTTGCTCACTCACTGAACGCTCTCCCCACTCATGCTCAGCGCTCACCTCTCACCTCAGATGAACAAGGGGTCATCACTTTTGACACCTGAGCCGCCACTTCCTGGACAGCTCACCTTTATCCCATATAGATAGTATAATTAGGTCATGTGACCGCCAAAACTGTATCACCTGCCGAATTATAGCAGGGTTATCTCTCTCATTTGCATCTCAATCGTTTACTATTGTATACGCGTATTTTTCTCAGGACATCTCACCATTTCCTTTCTCGGAAAAGTAATTACGATTTCCGGTACCGCTCAATTATTATAAATAGTGATTCCATGTGATCAGCTCAGTGAGTCTTTTAATAATAAAATTGACGTCTGGTGACATATTAACAAACCCCCGTGCAGTGACTTTTTTGACCCGCTCAACGCTTCCTGAAAATCCGTCCTCATCTCGTCCATCCGCCCAATATTCCTACACAACCAGGCCTCTCATTAAACAGTAAATTTCAAATAAATTCCAAAATAATTTGACCGAAATAAATAAATTAAATAAAAAATGTATATAAATAAATTAAATAAAAAAACTTAAATAAATTTAAATATGTCGAAATAAAAACTCGCGGAGATGGATCTCTCGCGCTGGATCAAAGCGACGAGTCAGCTGGGTGGTACATTCGTGGAAATTTCGGTGTTCCCGGAGAGCTCCAGGTGGAATAATCTCCTTTCGACTTCCCGTGACGTCAGCCGATCGATTTTCGAAGAGTCCCTCTCTCCAGGTCCCTGCTCCGGCCAGGACGACCTGTGCCACATATTCCCAACAGCAGGATCCTTAGTCGCGGACACCTTTTGCGTCCGTTGATTGAACGTGGGCCTGTAGATGGACGCTGTCGCTCGATCCTCCCTCTGATTATCGTCATCGGGGTCATTGAAGTTCCTTCAGATTTCGTGACGACCCTCCGTAATCTTAACGCGTCTCGATGTCGGGCATTATACCCCGACGAACGGTATTTGAGGGACAATAAAAGTAAATTTGTTATTGCCGGAAGGATAAATAAATTTTCCTTACTGACACTAGAGGTCGAGAGGAGTCTCCCAGAGGCCTTATTCAAAATTTAGGCCGCCTTGTAAAAGGGAGTAATCACAAAAAATAAGAAGGTCAGGTCACTCACGATTTCTGGATGCACGGCCTTTACTGCTAGACAAATAAAAACTGCTACATTAACCTTAATGCCTTTACGATTTCGAAGTTTGGTCTCTTTAACGTGGAAAGGTCCACAGTAATCAACACCGACTTGCTGGAATGGGCGGTTAGTGGCGTTGACTCTGTTAGCAGGTAGACAACCCATAGGGTATGCTGGAGTTGGTGGACGTACCCTCAGGCATGGTAGACAGTGACGAATAATTTTCCAAACCTGCGAACGTCCATCCAGTAGGCAAAACTGACGTCGTAAACCATGCAAGGTACTTTGAACTCCGGCATGCATCTGCTTCAGGTGTTCTTCATTGATAATGAGTTTGGTGAGATGACGATTTTTGGGCAGGAAAATTGAATATTTTTGGTCAAATGGAATATCTGCTTGTTGCAATCGGCCTCCGACTCTTAGGATTCCTTCGCAATCGTTAAATGGATTCAATGATTTCAATTTTCCAGTGTACTCCTTTGTACTGGCTCTCAACACATTGATATCTTCACAGAATGATTTGCGTTGTATCACCTTGACAATAGCCAACTGTGCAGCTTTCAACTCCTTTGCTATAATTGGACCCCTTGTGCACGTCTTCCGTTGTAGATATTCGAAGAATCGTCTCCAAACTGCTACGGTTCTTTTCAATTTGGTCCAAGATGAATACCTCGAGAATAAACTAAATTCTTGTGCCACATGAAGACAGGTGGCGACTTCAATTTCGGAGTCTTCTACTGGACGTTGGACTGTGAACCAGGACCAGGTATCTTCGGGGCGCTGCAACTATGCTGGTCCTTGGCGCCATAAATTGTTGTTGATGAATTCACTGGGCATTAGACCCTGTGATAGTGCGTCTGCTGGGTTGTCTTCAGATTTTACGTGTCTCCACGCTATTCCTGGAGACCCTTCTTTAATGGCTGAGACTCGATTGACCACGAAAGTTTTGAGTTGATGTGGTGATGTAGTGATCCAATGAAGGGCCACCATTGAGTCTGTCCAAAGGATAACCCTGTCTATGGAGATCTTGATGGCTTCTTGAGTGGCTCTCAAAAGCTGAACAAGTGTGTGGGCCCCACATAGTTCAAGTCTGGGAATCGAGACGGTCTTCAATGGCGAGACTCTTGACCTGGAGCATAGGAGAGCTGACTGAATGTCACCGTTATTATTACTGCATCTAACGTAGATACATGCCCCATATCCCCTTTCGCGTGCATCGCAAAAACCGTGTAATTGAATAGACGTAGCGTCTGGAACTAAAACATTTCGTGAGAATTGCAAAGTATTCATTTGAGGGAGTTCCTCGCAAAAATTGCACCATAGAGTGTGGATGATGGTTGGTACAGATTCATCCGACTCCAAGTTTTCGGCATATAATTTTTGAATGAGGCTCTTGGCGAGCAGAATCATTGGCCCAAGGAGACCAAGAGGATCGAACAGTGCAGCCACGTGAGATAAAATCGTTCTCTTCGTGACCGTGCTGCTATTGATAATAGGTTTAACCGAATAACTGATTTGGTCGGACTGCGAGTTCCAGGAAACTCCCAGTGCCTTCAGTGTTTGATTATTGTTGAGTTGAAGATGTTTATTAATGTCTTCTGCAGGTAGCTGCTGCAGAAGTTTCATTTCCTTTGAAGCCCATTGCCTGATTTTCAGGCCTCCCCTTTGGAGATACTGTATTATCTGAGCCGGAGCCTCCTTAGCTATTCATTGGGTCGAGAACCCTGTTAATGAATCGGCAACGTACATATCTTGCTGTAGAATTCGTGCTGCAATAGGGTAGTCGCCGGCATTATCTTGAGCTAATTGTTGGAGACTCCTTATAGCCAAGAACGCTGCCGCTGATAACCCGAATGTTACAGTGTTGAGCTGGTAAGTTGTCACTTGATTGTGATCGTCATACCATAGAATTTTCTGGTATTCCCGATCTTGAGGTCGAACGAGGAACTGCCTGTACATTTTCTCAATGTCTCCAGTTAGTACATATTTGTGGAGTCGGAAGCGAGTGATCAGTGTGAAAATGTCATCTTGAATTGTAGGGCCGACCATTAGAGCTGAATTGACTGAAGCTCCGCCTAACATGTTAGCTGATCCACCGAAAACCACTCTGACCTTGGTAGTCAGACTAGTCTCTTTAATTACTGCATGGTAAGGCAAGTAGAATCCTTCTCCAGTATCCTTATGGAGCTTCGTCATGTGATTCAGCTCTAAATATTCGGAGAGGACCGCTGAATATTGTTCCCTCAATTCGGGTTGGCGATGAAACTTCCGTACTAGCGATTTCAACCTTTTCTCTGCGATTTCTTTGGAAGAGCTCAATTTTTGTGCTGATTCTTTAAATGGCAAAGCGACAACGTAACGCCCTGCTGAATCTCTATAAGGATTATTCACATAATGTTCTTCTGCTGATTGCTCTTCTGGTGATAGAAACTGTTTCTTAGGTATTTCCGCCAATTTCCAGACTTTCTCGAGACTAAAATACTGCGGAGAGGCAGAATGTTTCTTGACCAGAATCATTGATTCATGCTGTACTACTACCTCCAACGATCCAACCTAGTTGCGTTTTCTGTAAGTAGAGATCGGGTGGGATGACGTACTGTCCTACGCAAAGTAGCGCTAGCGTCGGTCCGGATCCCAATAACACTTCAATTGATCCAGGGAGATAGAAAGTGGCATCTGCTCATTTTATGTTTTTCGGTAATTTCAATGTATCTCGTGACGATGCTTGTGTCGGGACAAAATCGGCGATGTTGGGAATCGTAAGAAATGTTAAAGTTCTTTCATATTTACTTGCCATTGATTTTATCGTTGCAGTTACTTGGTACTTGGTGTACGTGGTGAGTCCATTGATCCCTGTCACAGGAATGGCGTAATTAGTCTTCTCGAGCTTCAATTTGTCGGCGAGTCTTTCCGTTATGAAATTTGTTGTAGAGCAGGTGTCCAACAGCAGTCTGGTGCGAACTAATCCTTTGTTTTTGTTCAATGTGTTAACGATGGCCGTGGTGAGCATTTGATTGCTGGCTTGGTTGTTTAATAAAACCACACCTTTCTCTGCGCTCCGTGCTAGTCAACTTTGGGAGTTGGTTTTGGTGTTCTCTACGTGAATCAAGGTGTTATGGGGCTCTTCACATATCCAGCACATAGATCTGAAGCGTTTGCACCTATACAGAAAATGCATATTTTGATTACACACTGAACATTTTTCATCTGTCATCGTTATGAATGCCTTGGCGTGTGGTCTCTTCAGCTGTTGCCTTTGAGTACTAATTTCTCCCTTAATTTCTGGCTTTTGTTTAGCACTGTCTCGAATAGCCAATCGTGAAGCTCTTTGGGAAAGAAAGTCCAGCAAATCTTTGGATTTGGGAAATATTCCCTTAGTTAATGTTTCTTCCCAGGCATCCATAGTGATCGAGTGTAGCGCATTCTCCAGCATCGCTACGATGGTCTCATCATTCACAACGACATCTAGGGTTTTCAACATTTCCATATTTTATCTAGTATCGTCGACGAGCTTAGTGAGTCCTGATGTGGTTTCTTGAAGTTGTTTTGGGAGATTTAATAAGAGCTGATAATGTCTTGAGATGAGCACTCGATTGCTGGAGGAAATCTCGTTTATGATGGTCCAAGCTCTTTCATAATTATCTCCTATTACTGGTAGCATTTTTGTCTTGTCGAGAGCAGGGCCTTTCAGGCATTTTCTGAGATAGGATAGTTTCACCACATTGCTGAGGTCTCTGTGATCATGAATTGCTGCTTGGAATTTCCTTTGAAAGAGAGCGAATTCTCATATTCCCCTTGAAACATCGGTAAGTCTGGAACTGGAAGTTTGAATTTTCTGTGTCCGCCATTGTGGTTGTCTTGCCGTGAGTTCTCACTGAGGAATCCCGACATAGAGCTCGGTGGATCTCCTCGTGCAGCGACTAACAAACTCTCATAGTCAGCTATGTTATCGTAGTATTTTCCTTCGATGTCAAATCTCGCTTCCGGGCTATGATGGTGATTTTCCGGATCCAGTTGCTCAAACTCGTCGCCAGTTTTGCGGACATTCTTGAGGTTTTCTTTATACTCATTAATGCGATTAGTGATCTTTGTTACCTCTACTTCCTTGTTTTTATAAATTGAAAGGAATTTCTCAATCAGCATGAGCTCTCTTTTCAGCTCCTTTCCGCGCCCCTGTCGTTGAGTAAGGAGCATTCGCTTGTCGTTGAGCCAGCGATGTATCGTCATCCGGGTTGGCCTCTATGATGGCACGCACCTCTATACTCATCTTGTTCTTAATTCAGTTTGTCACACTAAGTGCACTGTTCTCACTTGTTTTGCTATATTATTTTCCACAACTATTATTTTGATATTCCCGGAATATCCGGCACGAAGGACCATTAAATGTGCCACCATAGGGTGGTACACTCGAGCTAACAAATTAATATCACTCGAGGGGTTGAGGTGATTGTTTTCCTCTTCTTCTGTTTTTTGATATATTTTTTAAAGGTATGGTTGCAATCACCGGAAGGGGATAAAATTATGTGAACACTTGAACACTGTGGATTTTGAATGATGGTTGACACTTGAGTTTTTATTTTTATTTTAGGCTGCCATATGGTTAGTCTCGATACAAGCGAAAGTTAGGATACTTAAAGTACAAAATTGGATACTGTTTCCACTGTCACTATTCGTCTTGAACTCATCTTCTCCCTCTTGCTAATTTAGATGAGAGTGTCAGGAAGACGGGGGAGGGAATTTTCACAACATGAAAGTTCGCATTTGATTGGCAGAGAAAGGTTCAACCCTCTACCTTGATCCACCCTTTTTCTGGTGGGAGAAAACTTGAGTGTTTAGCGAGAATTTTCCCTGTTTTTCAAGGCTGTAATGTTTGTCGCAAGAAAAAAGGGAATTTTCTTTGGGCCACACGGCTGGCGATAGATTAAGTTGTAAAATCCCTGGGAATTGAGTAGTTTTTCTTTCAATGAGGTCTTTATCTCGGGGGGAATCGTCTAAAGGGTGCTAAAGGTTATATAAAAAATCAAGAACTTTGGGTCCGGTTGGCTCTAAAATGAAACTTAAATTCCCTCGGGTTTTTCCCAAGGGTTGGTAGAGTTGTCAAACATCTGTGGGGCATATTTGAAGAGCCGAGACTCATTTAATTTCTTGTTCTTGTTGACTGATTCTTTTGTCTCGCCTCTGTTTTCCTAGCACTCTCATAGATTCAAAATAAAATCAATCAAATCTTTTCGTTGAAGGCGAAACAATACCGATCCCCGAATGAGAAAAAATGTTTAACCGAATAGTTTTTGTTGGTATAACCTAACTCTTCTATCACTGTATAGGCCCTTGTCAATGAACCAATTATAAGATATTTTTTTACGATTTGTAAAATCATTTAAGATTTCCCAACTAACACTATTTTTATAAACAATGGGAAGCATTGAAAGAAGTGAGTATAATTGTTCCGCATCCTGTTATGATCAGCAGCAACCATATAATAAACCAAATGGACAGCAGTATATTTAATTTATCTCTCCAAAACAGTGAAATGCGTTTGTTATTGTCCAGATGTACACTTTCAAGAAAATGGGCTTAATAACGGAATATTTTCTGGACTTACCTACACATCCTCTTACTGATACTTTTTTAGCAACGAGATACTGTTTGAGATCTTTTGACTTCATTTTCAATATTTGAGATCTGATCAATGGTCTTCGAGAAAGCATACTGCAATTATCACAACTCAACACCCTGTCTCCACGTCTTATAACGCAATCTGCGCAGTAAAATCTCAAGCAGTCCTTACATTGTCTCTGGAAGTAAAACGATATTCGTTACAATGATGAGTATAAAAAAATATCAATTTTTTGTGCAATGTCAATTTCTTATGTAACGTAACGAATATGCGGGGATGTTCGTTAGGAACACGCGAAATAACTAAGAGGGGACCATCAACGACTTACCTACACACCGACAATCCGAAGAAAATTAGAGCAAGAGGGAGAGAGAGTCCGGGGCGATTTTCATTAGCGTAATTTAGGGAGACAATCGCGTTTCAGAGGCGCCGAGCCCCTGCCTGGCGTAGCAGTAGGGAAGGTAAAAGGGATTACGGGTTTGAGGGCCTAAAACTACCATGAAATAGAGCCAAAAAGTAGACTCATCCGGTAATTAAGAAAGGATCCACGAGTTCAAGTGAGAATTGACACTCCGAATCGTGATATGTTACCAAGTTACTCTTTCTCGACTATTTCGTGTTATTTTGTGGACTTCCACCAAAGGAGAAGTCACCTTCGATTGCGTGAGTCCTGTGAGAGGACAGGAATTCAATTAATTTTATTTTGTTATCTATTTGAATTTAAATTACGCGTCACTATTTAATTAAGCTCTAGTTGAGGACCTAGTTCGAAAATCAATATGAAGCTAAGAGATGCCATCGGATTTCAGATGTCATCTTAGGGGACTGATTTTGGACATAGCCATGAATGGAACCTCAATCCACTCTTCATGAACAGGAATGTGATCAGTTAGCAAGATACATGCATGATTGGAGTTTAGTAAGCAAATGAATAATCACGTGTAATGGGAGAGTTATTATTTCCGCAGAGGAACGTTCAATATAGAAAATAATTTCATTTAATTTTGCCAGCACTGAGAATATATTCTCTTCGATTTTGGACAGGAATAACTATTTTAAAATATTGGTAAATCGAGAACACATGCGCTGCGAATTAATTATACCTGTCACGCATGTCTGAATGATTTAGATTAATGAATGATGATGTCGTCACCACCAATGCTATTTTCTCATTCCGTTCTCTAGCTGTTACGTGCATTCGCATGTTTCGCCAAATTCACTTCCCATTTGGTGGGCATAGAGAGTATATATCTGCAAAATTTGATTGATTTTCGACGCAGAAGAGACGCCATCCCTGATTCTGGCGACATTTGATCAGTAAATCTTTGGCTCTCTCTCAGGTTAATTTTGAGTAACGTGTTATCATCTTGTTTAATGGACGGAATGATTACTTTTATTTATTCGATTGTGAATTGTTAATTTCGCGGGATTTAGAATTTCTCGTTGCGTCGGAAATTTTTTACAATTTCTTGCTTGAAAATCTCGGGAACTTGAAATTGTATGTCTTGAATTCGTATCTGTTTTCTTTTCATTGTTAGTGACGGCAAGTTGTATAGACTTATCGATTTTGGCGTTACTGTAGTTTGGAGTCATCGAGAGAGGCAGAGTACAGAGCCGGCTCTTCTCCATCATCTTTCACGTTTGTCCAAATAACGCAATGAATCCCGAAGAATAATCTTAAAATTTTTATTCGTATCAAAAAAGTATCTAACAACTCCAAATTTTGCTCGGGCGCCAATCAGTGAAAATACTTTTTAAGCGGCACTAACTCCTCTTAGCTCAACTCATTTATTACAAGGGGGGGGGGGGGGGCAATACTCCGGCTCTAGTGTTGTCCTCTATCTCAACAGAGAAGACACAAATTTTTCAATTGAAAAATAAAGGATTATAATTCACATAAAAAAAAAATAGAAGATTGAACAGAAAATAATACAGGATGTAGATTTCAAGTTTTTCGTGTCACCGTCACGAAAAAATGAAATCAACGCGACAAAATAAACTCAAATTGTTGGATTTTTGCCGATAATCGATAATACACATTATTGGATACGCGATCATAAATAGGATATTAACAACTACCAAATAATGAGAATAGTAGCCGACGTGCGGTGACCGTGCAGTAAGAGCGTAGGGGGTTGGCACTTAACATTCGTGGGTTCGATTCCCAGTCGGGGAAAATGCCAGGGGTTTTTTAGAGATAGCATCCGCTCTAACTTGCACAGGTTTCATCGTACGAGCGGTAGTCTCGAAACAGACGACTGTACCTGGCCAAGGTTTTTTTTCATGAAGTTTTCCCTTCCGCCCTCGGCCTAATTGCAGTACAGGGGGAACTGGGGATGGGAAATGTAAAAGCCCGAAAGGGTATACAAGTGTGGACAAGTTTAGTTTTTTTT